GTGGGCATGTCGAAATTGGTGTCTGATGGTTAACAGCCCGCCGGCCAAGATGAGTCCAGGTTAGCATGCAGGCTGGGTGGTGCCTTGCCCCCCTCTCGTCACGGAAAAAGCCGCGGGATTAACAGGTGCGATATGACATATTCCAGCCACCAGAGTCTTTCGGCGGATACCTTTTCAGGGCACAAATACAGAGCGAAGCATTGGCATCGAGATGCTAGACGGGTGTCTGGCTGCGCTTGACCAGGAAATTTCTGCATCGCAACCCCAATTTACCCATCATGAGGAAAAGCACCATAGAAAATGGATGGCTTGATGGATGGATGGATGGGCAAACTAATGCTACGCTAATGTACTGGAAGACACACAATTCTTCTGGTGCTTACCTCCTCCCTCCTCTCCTCCGAGGGGCCCTTCAGCTCTCGGGCTTGGTCGTCTTTGGGGTCAAACAGGTAGATGTAGTCGGATGAATAGCTGACCAGCACCTCCTGGCCATCCTCGCTGTAGCACAGCGACGTCACACGACACGACTTATTGGACAGATGAGCGGGAACGAACCTCACGCACATGCCCGTCGTCCCCCGGCCCATGTAGTTGCCTACAAAAAAGAGAGAGAGAGAGAAATTGCTTTATCGATCCTCAATCAGATGAAAACGATGTGATTGGACCTGAATTCCGATCACGTGACCAGACCCCTAGCTGGGAAATCTCAAGTGTTTTTTTTTTTGTTTTGTTTTTTTAACAATGGTAAAACCGCGAGAAGCTTCACCCCAACAAGCATCTAGGCGACGTCCATTTGGCGAAGAATAAGCCAGCGCTAAATGAAGTCAAATCAAGAGAGAGAGAGAGAACTGCATGGGGCAGGGGATTTGAACCATTCCTACAACTACAGGACTTGTTTGTTCACATTCAAACTTCGGCAGTCAAAGAAAGGCAACAAGTCATTATTTTCCCTGCCGCCGCATTGCAAACTTTACCTGTGGCCCTGGTGCCGAGCAGCCGTCTGTCGTAGATGCGCACAGAGCTGTCCGAGCAGCCCACCGCCAAGTAGTAGGGCATCAGCGGCGAGATTGAGATGGACGTTGCCGCTCTGCGGCAATTGATCAGGATGTCCTGTCAAACACCAAAGTGACACACTGCTAGAAAGCAGAATTCCTGATCGTTTATTAGGGCTCGACACTGTAACCGTTCCGTTCGCAAATGCTCCCATTTTTTTCAATATGTACCGGTAAAAACTTAAGAGCTCGAATGCATGTTTTCATACCCCCTCTGATACGTACAGCGACGGCATTCCAGCTCTGTGTCCGTCTCTCACACGGCACACGGAAGAAACGGAAGGCGCGTCAGTTTAAATCCTTCCTGTATTGACTGAGGCTGCTACTACAGCTGGTGTTGTGGTATAACATTGCATCCTTGCAAATTACAACATTGATATTTTGAACCAATATCCGTAACTTACTGGCAATGTGAGAAATAACGGTGCAATGAATTTTGAACCTGTATCAATATCCATAACTTACTGGCAATGTGAGAAATAACGGTGCAATGTATCGAAGTATCAAGATGATGTGATACTATACCAGTATCAATTTCTGTTGTTGGCATATCAACACTGTACATGAGAAATAACTGGAATATCAGATTGTGATTTTATCCCACCTCTCATGTTCAATCATTTCCAACATTGATTATCCTCGTTAGGGTTGTGAGATAGCTGGAACTTAGCTATGACGACTTTGGGTAAGAGGCTATGGACTGGCCGCGAGCCAACAGCAGAGACAACCCTTCAAACCATCATTCATAGCCAAGAACAAATTCAAGTCTTCAATGAACACAACGCCGTTTAAGCCTTATGAAAACTAGCGGCGGAATCCCATACACTGTGCAACAATTCTGACGATTTCAACCACGCCACACTCGTTTCAAAAAAGCCTACGCCTCTTTTTAGAATGTGGAAGGAAGCAGAGACCACAAGTGCATGCAAACTCCACATAGAAAGTGAGGAGACCAGAATACGAACCCCCATTGCGCGTGTGTGCCTAATGAACTGCCCGGCGCGCGTCATGCAAACACTGAGTCAGGTGCAAAACAAGCGATGTCGTGAATGAAACATGAGTTTTTGGAGCAGGATGACATCAACTGGAGTTAATTACCGGTCCAACAAAAACAACGAAGGGTGGTGGTTTCTTTCTCAGGTGAACCGTAAACATCGGACAAATTGTGAGATGCGAAACAGATGTCACCGTACGTCTTTGCAGTCCTCCTTCGTGCAGCTGGTTTTCATGCGGAGGTCGAACCATCGCACAGTGCCATCCTCTCCACAGGACAGGAAGGTGTAAGGGTCGTTTGGTACTGTCATAATCTGGCGACGCAACAAACGACTACGTTAGGAAAAAGAACGTCACCAACAGAGGGATTTGTGACGCCTTTTTGTTTACCTCATAGGCGGTGCCATAATGGCAGTTAAACTGACACTGTCTGTTGAACTCGGCACTCTTTTCTGTGTGGGTATAGTAGAGGATTCCATCCCCAGAGCAGGAGATGATCTCCTGGTCGTTGGTGTGAGGCATGAACTTTGCACTGAAGATATTGGCCCGGTGGCCAGAGCGGATGGACTTTTTGACCTGAAGACGTCGGGCAGAAACAAGATGGCGCTAAAAAGTGGGAACAGTTAGTTTCATCTCGGGCGGCAACTCATGATTATTTAAATGATCGATTCATCTTATCATTATTTTGGCAACTAATCAATGGTTCTGATTTATTTAAAAAAAAAAAAAACATGGAAATAGGAATGTTGAAAAACTAAGCGCTATCATGAACTCACAGCATTACACATACGCCTTACGTCAAAGGGAGAAACGTTAACAGTTTTCACTTGTTTTATTTTTTTTGTCAACATTATTTCAACTTCCTTTCTTTTCCTATTTTCAAAATGTTCTATGCAGACCTTTTTGTTGTACGGGTTGGTAATGGCCAGGAAGGTGTCATCTGAACCTGACAAGATGTATTCGCCCGTATCGTTCCATGATATCGTGTTGACCTGCAGCGAGTGGAAGAGTCAGCACACAGTGAACAGAAATTCTGTGAGGAAAAACTCAAGTCGGTTTATTGTCATTCAAATGTATCTTAAGTAATATTTATCAAAGAGTCAGACATTTTTTTTTCATGCATTTTAAAACTAAACCGTATGAAAGTATTGCGGCCGTTTTCCAGGGATCACACTTTTTTACCATTCCGCAAACATTTCAATGCTTTCTCAAGAATTCACCCAAACGCTCTCATACAGTAAATCCATAAAATTATTTGTTGTATCCGGGTTTTGGCTTGACAGAGGTAATGATAAAACAAGGGACAAGTTCAGATGCGCAGCCCGACAGTTGTTAGAGTGTTGGTGACACGATTCGACGTGTGACTCTTCTGTCAGTTCGGGTTTCTCTCGGCCTGAAGTCAACGGTCAAAAGGAGGAAGTACTCACACAGCCATCGTGTATGTTCAGCGTTGCCTCTAGTTTCAGTCTCTGAACGAACTCTCTCCTACCTGCAGATAACAAAGGAAATAAGTTTTAGGACTTCTGCCAGTTGTAGGGCAAACATGCAAACGTGAGCAGCTAAGTCACTAATAACTAGCCGGCAGCCACCGGACGAAAGTGTCAGTCACTCGGGTCATCTTTTGATCATGCGCGATTGTGGTAATGATGTTAACGTTGTATGAAGGATCATAACTTAAAAATGATCTTCACATTTTAAGGCGTGTTTATTATTCCCGTGAGAATAACATTAAAACCTGACAATTAAAATGGTATACCTTGATTATGAATATGGAGAAAAGTTTTAAAAAAAAAGACATCTTGTGTGTTTAAAAAAAGAATAAAAAAAATACACTTAAGTTATTCAGCAAAACCCAGTGATCAAATGCTCCTGTCAAATGTGCGCTGTTTTTTTCTTCTGAATGCATTTCCAAGGTATCAGATCAAGACTCAGAATCGGGAAAAATACAAAATCATGTAATTCGGACTCTGCTGCAAAGAAATGTGATTGGGACATCCCAAATAGAGTGGTTTACTTTACTTTTAGCTTAAATGACAGTTAGAGGTGAACTAAACCCACAGAATTTTAAGGATAGACTTCAGGATAGAACAAAAAAAAAAAGACATTTGAATTGGAAAATCATTTTATTTACTAGATGCATGTAAGCTCCAGTGTCTGAGAAGTGTTGTGAAACTCCTCCTCTTCCCTCACTCTGCAGAGCATAATTAATACCTCAAGATGAAGAGTCTGGGTGTTTGTTACACAATAACGAGAATAATAATGAAATGGTTGGGTTGCATTCATTTCAGTTAGCCTGATTTGTTAAAGTGAAGAAGCAATAAACTGTCAGCCACAAAAGTGCATGCTGATTGAGTTTCTTCTATTAATTTATTGAACTGATTAGTCCAAATGTAATTTTATTTATTGCCACTAGAAGCAAGTAAACAGTCAGATCTGATGGAATGTAAATGGATCTTTTAAGTGATAACGACAACAAAACAAGGTAACCATTTTTATCTTGGGTTTAGTTCTTAAAACACTGCCTGTAGAATTCATAAAGATGTTGTGATGCCGACAGTTTAAGCCTGGAACAAATTAATTCACTTCATAGTTTTTGTTTTCCCCCGTTTCAGGTTTTCCACAAGGTTCACAGTACAGAACTTTATGTTCTTGGTCAACAAGCAGGCACATAAGAGTGTTGTGTTTTATGTTAGTCCTTTCTTTTCTTCAGCATTGAGTTGGGTGAAGTGCATGTCAATGTTTTGGAAGTGCATGATCTATTTTCTAAACTTTGGGGATCTGAGGGAGAATCACATTTAAAATGTGAGTCTTGATTTGGAGAAAAAAAAATCTTAGAATCCCCTTTTGCAAGGCAAAACTCTGGGATTAGAACTCAACCCATAAGTTGTCCCCCGTCTCCTTTTCCAGGCTAAATATAAACTGGGGCTGCTGCTTGTTTCTCTACTGCGGCTTCTGCAATGTAACTGAACACAATGAGAGCTTTAGGTTGTCAAGCTAAATACAGCAGTGACTAAAACTGCACCTGCCGTACCTATTCGGGGCTTCGGTCTGTACTGAGACCCAATCAGGTGTAAACAGCTTGACGACACCGTAGATAGGACCAATAACAGTGATAAGATAAGTAATTCACTTCGTAAATCATGTGCACAGCAATTTCTCAAGAACGTAAATCTGATCTGACAAAAATATAAAGTGAAATTATTCTGATATTTAGTGCAGGTTCTACACATGCAGTGTTCTTCTCTGTGGTAAACATTAGGCAGAGTAACATATCGGGAAGAGGGCGACATTCTACTACGTCCAAACACGCTAACTTTCCCCACTTTGTTCCATTCTTACCTAAATAATTTGTCCGAATGTTGTTTGGCTCGCTGTATCCGATGAGGCGTTTATTTACATCCCAGACCAGGTTCCCGGAGCAGGACATGGTGACCGAGGGTGGCTTTTAATAAACAACAACATTGAAATTTAAGCTAACCGCCTGGGGGATTTCTTTGGCCATCGGTCCCTATCAGTCGGGACGATGCTAACGTTAGCTAGCCGCGACAGTGCAGTTTCATGACGGGAAGTGAGATGAGAAGGTCCCCGATTCCCGTCCCGGCAGTCGCTTCCTGCTTTTAGCCCGACAGCTCAAGTACTCCCTGAGGGAGTAACTGTGCGTCCCCCAAGCCGAGCCTGCTTTATTTTGTCTAACAGGCAGGCGAACGATCAGCTGTGTCAAAACAACGCGATAAACTGCGAGGTTTAAGCAGGGGTGAGAGTATGCTCGATTTGTATGTAGTTGGTCAGATGCGTGTGGGGCGGTACGCTAAGTGGTGGGAAGCAACTAAGTATACATATTATACTGTACATACTTTGCTGTACTTTTCAGGTATAAAAGGAAGCCACCCCTGTAATGATTGTTGACAGGCAGGGTTTGGGTTTTATGTGTCTTTTTATTGATAACGTGGCAGCGCCGTTAAACATGCGGTAGACTGACTCGCAGTTACTTCCGGGAACTCCCCCTTATAGGCGGGACCTGTCAATCAACTCAAGCATGACGTAAACAGTGCAAACTCTCGTAAAGCACTAAACATATAATAATGACCTATTATATGACAACCTCCCCCTTAAAAAAGATGAATGCATGAAATTATTTTCATTTTAGTTATCTAATGCGTTCTTTATAATTATTTGCTTTTTCAATTTCAATCAAATAATAAAGATTGGTGGCCCAGTAGTCGAGTGGTTGGCACGTTGGCTTCACAGTGCAGAGGTACCGGGTTCAATTCCAGCTCCGGCCTTCCTCTGTGGAGTTTGCATGTTCTCCCCAGGCCTGCGTGGGTTTTCTCCGGGTGCTCTGCTTTCCTCCCACATTCCAAAACCATGCATGGCAGGCTGGTTAAACACTCAAACTTGTCCCTTGGGGCGAGTGTGGGCACGAATGATTGTTCGTTTCTGTGTGCCCTGCGATTGGCTGGCAACCGATTCAGGGTGTCTCCCCCCTACTGCCCGAAGACAGCTGGGATTGGCTCCAGCCCCCCCCCGCCACCGCCACCCTCGTGAGGATAAGCGGATCGGAAAATGAATGAATGAATGAAGAAGATTTATTCTCAAACGTCACTGTCAAAAATGCACTTCCAAATAAGCATTAACAGAACAAGTTGTCAACTTTATGTTAAGCAGTGTTGTTGGCATCTGTTGGATCTAACTAATAAATGAATGAATGAATGAATGAATGAATGAATACTTTATTGCAGCCTTCCTCAACTGGCGGACCGCGATCCACGACCGGACCGCCGACCTCCTCTGTCCGGACCTCCTCTGTCCG